CAGATGCCAAACCCTGGTACCAGCAGGACCATACTCTCTAAGAGGTCTCAAGTCTCTGAGTTCCTGTCTCTCACTTGTCTTACTCTGGGCACAAATGACAGCAGTTTCTTGATTTAAACGCAAATCTCAAAAAGCTCATAGCTGACAGACCAGGAAAAAAACTATAAGCTGGAATATTTTGATACCAAAGCTGTCACGAGTGAAGCTCCTGACTACAATACAGACGAGACAGCAGAAGGAGATGGACATCTGGCCACCCCACAACTCTTCCAAAGATGGGTGGGTTTTTGGAAAACCACATGTTCCCCCATGTGGCCCTGCATCCATATATGAGCAGTGTACGCAGGTATGCCCCAGCCTACTTGATCTCTTAGTAGCATTCAACATAGCTAAGCAGGTCTTCCTGAAAAGACCCTCTTGTGGTCTCTGTGATGCCACCTCTCCTGGTTTTCTGCTTTGCTGGACACTCCTCATGTCCCTTATCTTCCCCCTGACCGCCTCATGTTAGAGTGCCCCAGATTTCAGACACAGGCCTCTACTCTAGCCACACCTCCCTGCAGCCCAGTAGAGTCTGAAATATCCATGCCATAAAGATCTCCACATTTATGTCTCTGACCTTGAGCCCCTCCTCCTCTGTGTTTTTCCTAGCACTCAACTGTGAAGTCAGCCATCCATTTGCTTTCTTACCTATATATTACCCAAGTGCCACCACTAGAATATAAGCCTTTGCCAGTCTTGTAGCCTCAACACGTGGCTCTGTATCCAGCACCTTGTTGTTGTTTAGTCACTAAGTTGTGTCTGACTCTTTTGTGACCCCATGGACTGTAGCCCGCCAGGCTCCTTCTGTCCATAGGATTTCCCAGGCAAGAATACTGGAGTGGGTTGCAGTTTCCTTCTCCAGGGGAACTTCCCGGTCGAACCGGAGTCTCCTGCATTGGCAGTAGGGTTCTTTATCACTGAGCCACCAGGGAAGCTCTTGTAGGTACTTATAAAGGGTGGCAGATACCTGGTACTGCAGGAAAGTCACCGTGTCCTCAGTCAGCAGCAGCTGGTAGGCCTCTTGGATAGACAGTGGCAGGTCTTGGTGGAAGAGCTGGATGGAGCCCTGAAAGTGCAGCCCACAGCTCGGCTTCTGAAGCCTCCCTGCGGTGGCACGGCCAAGGGAGCAACTTCCCCACTCTGCTATCTGCGTGCTACACTCCCCACCCATCACAGCAAGAATCAGGCCGGCCAGGAAGGGGAGGGGAGAGAGGGAGGCAGCATCACTAACAGACTGGAAAGCCTGCTCCCTGTGTGACATTCTTGTCTCCTGCTCTAGAAATCAGGTTACAAGCCCCGTGAATAGTCGCTTGTAGATACTTTTCCCCCCAGTGGAAACGTCCTTCCGGTTCCTTGGTCACAATCCCCTCTCCACTCTGCCAGGGCCCCCACTCACACATTCCAGCAGATACAAGGCCTCTTCTGGGTGAAGCCGCTGCCGGCCCTGCTCTGAAAAGCCCATGGTCTGCCAAAATTTACCCTGCGGGGGACCCAGAGCAGATATCACGAAGGAGCCCGGGAAGGCAGAGGAGGCGGGTCCCCGGTCTCTGAGCCCCGCCGCTCACCGCAGGAGACTTCAACTCCACGAAGCCTTCTTCTGGTCTCCACTCAGCGGCCACCAAACTGCCCCTGGCGAGGACCGGGGAGACGGGTCCGTCTCAAGCCCACCCGATGAGATTTACGGGATCCAGCCGCCCAGCCCGCCCTGGCTCCGCCCCCGCCCCGGCCCGCCCCCCTCACAGGCGCTCCACGCGCTCCTCGGCCAGCAGCTGCCAGAGCTCCTGGCGGCACAAGCGCAGCCGCTCGGCCTGGGCCTCCGAGCCGTCGGGGAGGAAGTCCTTGGGGCCATGCGAGCGCTGGGGCAGCTTCTGGGACCGGGAACGTGCGGCGAAGAGCTCCGGGGCACTGGGGGCGAAAGGGCCGCGGCGTTAGCGCGGCGCAGTCGGGGCCGCTCGGCCCAGGCTGAGGATCCCCGGCCCGGGTGCCCCGGGCCCTCTCCCGCGGTCACGGCGCCCGCCCCCAACCCCTAGGCCTAGCCACGCCGCACCTGAGCACGCGCCCGGCCGGAACCTCCACGGAGGCCGACTCGGGCTCGGGATCCATCGGGTGGGGCTGGCCTACGCTGCGCGCGCACCGCCCTACCCCGCCCACCGCCGGTAGTCCGCGCGGCCCTAGCGCGAGCGGGTCCCACAGCCGCTCCCCGGGGCTCCGGTCCACCCACCTGCTTCCCACCTTCCTGGGTGTCCTGGGTCCTAGCGCCCGCCGAGAAATATGAGTCGCGATTACTAGGGGGCGAAGAGTTTTCTAGTTTCTGGATTTGTAGGAGCTCCCCCTCTCCTATCCCGCCTCTGGGGCTCCTCTCTAGTAGTTCTCGAGGAGACTGGCGTTTGAAAGCGTCGTATGAAGAGTTATAAGCGTGACCCTCCCCTCCGCAACCCCGGACTGCTTAGTGAGCGTCACCCAGGCTGGACCGGGAGGAAGAGAGGCGGGGGTTAGAGAAGGGAGAACGCTGGGTTCCCCAATTCGGCTTCGCACACTGAGGGCCACCACGGGCCGCCAGGTGCAGGCTAGGGGGACCCGCAGTTCTTTCAGGTCCTTCCGCTGGGTCCCTGCCTGGGGGCTCGGAAGCCGGGCTTCCAGGACTTGGGGGGGCGGCGGAAGGCGCTGTCCGACCCACGGCGGTGCTGAAGCGCCACCCCAGCCGGTCGTTAGCGCCTCCCGGAGCCTGGGGTCTCCGCCGCCGCCGCCTCGTGCCGTCCCCACACGGCACGCTAGGTGGCACCATCGCCCCGACCAGGGGCCGTCGGCCCTTGACTTCGGGTCGCGGGCGGAGGTTGCTGCGAGAGTCCCGAGAAGGACGAGGGGCGAGGAAGAAGAACGGGGGGGGGGCTCCCCTCCCCAAGTGGGATTCCTGGGTCTCGGTTCCCGGCTCCCGTCTCATCGCGTCCTCTCTCGCACCCCGTCACACACAGGGTGTCTCTCCCGTCCGTCAGAGGTCGCGCCCGGGCTGCAGTCAGGATGCAGAGGATCGCTCTCTAGTCCCCGCCCCCACCGCTTCACCTGGGCGCATGCGCGGACGCTCGGGCCCGGGGAGGTGGGGCGGGGCCTCGCGTGGATCGGGGCGGGGCCCCTCGTGGATCGGGGCGGGGCCGCAGGCTCTGACTGACAGCCTGGCTGCGCGGCCGGGACGGTCCCTCCGCTCCCGATCCGGCGGGAGGGAGCGGGGGAGGGGCGGGATTTCCTGCGGGAGGCGCCGAGCCGGCCTTGGAAAAGGAGGAGAAAAGAGGTGAAGGGGGGGGCAGTGGGAGCCACCGTCCAGGGGGCCAGGGACCGAGCAGGACCGGCCGGACCCCCGGCGGGGCGGCTGGGAAAGGTGAGACTGTGGGGCCTGATCTGGGGGTCAGCACCCCTGAGGGCGGGCACAAAGTAACTTTTCTTGCGGGAACCGCGGGCGCCTTCATCCGTCGGGTCCTTCCGTCCTCCTCGCGCCAGTACACCGTCTCCCCGCATCAATCCCTCCGGGCGCTTGGCCCTCCCGGTCTTTCTCGCCGCTTTGTTCCCCGGTCGGCCTGGGCTGGGCTGGGTTGGGGGGTTGCGCGGCGCTGGACTGGCATTCCGGGGGGCGGGGGAGCCAGCCCGACCCCATGCACTGCCAGGGGCGCCCTCCCCCTGTGTCGGGCCGCGGGCTTTGAGCTGGAGTGCCATCTGGTTTGGGCTTGGGACTTCTGGGGAGTAAGAGGACCCCAGCTAGGGCCCCAGGCCTGCCGCGGGTCTCATGCCACGGGACTCGGGCAACAAATTCTCGGCCACTGAGAGACTGACGTAAGCTTTTCTAAAGTAAAGTTGGGGCTTTGGGACTCAGATTCAGGCTTGGGAGGGCGGACAGCCCCATTTAGCAGAAGTACCCCAGCTCTCATCTCTGTTCTCTGCCCGGCTGCTTCTCCATCCCGCACTAGGGGTGAGGATGGGTCAGCAACAGGTGCTGTAAAGCCTCACTGTCCTGCAGGCAGACCCTCCGCCAGAGATGGGGGGCCATAGCTCCACACTCCACCTTCTGAATTCATAAAGAGCCCTTGGGCTAGGGCTTCCGGCGATCAGGGCAGAGCCGAGCTGGGGAGGGGTGACCCCCGCCAGGCCGCCTGTGCCTGACCCTCCCCGGCCCCACCTTCTGGCCCACCACTTGTCTGTGGGTGTCAGAGCCTCAGGCTGTGGAGAACAGGCTGCTGGCCTGACCTGCCCCCGTGTGTCGTGCTGCCAGGGCCCCTCCTGCCCCGGGTTGAGGTGCTGCCAGGTGCCCTGGGGCCTCGGTGACTCAGCCTCCCCCTCCCAGAACACCCCCTCCCCCCTCCCAACACTCCTCTCATGCATGGCGGCTGCCTCCCACTTACAGTGGCTCAGCCCCTCCCTGGACTCAGAAAGGCAGCCAGGATAACTTGGGGGCTCCCTGGAAGCCCTGTCCTGTTCTTTCTCTGAGCCCTCCTTCTGGGACCCTTACAGACTCCAACTCAGCCTTCAGCAGACCCTCAGCGGATCACACCTTTTCCAGACCCCCCGAGACCTGGCCGGCCCTGCTGCCCAAAGCGCGAGGGAATGCTGGCTTCTCTTTGGGTGGGCACTGGTGCTCCTGAGCCACGTCGGGAGGATTGGCGCCCCCAGTCCCGGCCCATCCCTGGGCTGTCGGAAGCTGCAAGCTGATATCCGTCCAGATTTCCACACAGCCTCCACCCCTTCAGAGATCAGCTTTCCTGCTTGTGGCGGCAGCTCACGAAGCACCTTGAAGGAGTACCCGTCAACGCCTGCCAAGAAGCCCACTGCCTGGAACGCCAGACACACTCCCCGCCACTGGACACCTGGCCCTCCAAAGGGCCAAGGGATGGCACCCTGACACCTCAGCTTAGACCAGTTTCCCTGCCTCTGCCCTGGACCCCTGAGCCCAGAGTCCAGCCCAGGGACCGGGAAGGATGGGTCGAGAACAGGACCTGATCCTCGCTGTCAAAAACGGAGATGTGACTGGTGTGCAGAAACTGGTGGCGAAGGTCAAGGCCACAAAGACAAGTGAGTACTTGGTGGGGTGACTGTCTACCTGAGACCCTCCTCTGAGTGCCAGGCTGTAGAGAGAGGCCTGGGGGGAGTGGTCACTCTGATCTGGGGACTAGGGTAGGAGTGCCTCAGTGTGGGAACGTCAGAGAGGAAGTTGGGTCCCCCTTGCTGTGTATGCTTAGGCAAATCTCTTAACCTTTCTGGGCCTCATTTTCCTCACCTGTAGAGTGAAAGGAGTGAAGTACATTCATTCTAATTTGGGGGGAGTGTCTACTGTGTGCCAGGCTCTGTTCTATGCTCTGAGCTCCAGCAGTGAACAAAACTGACCCAAGTTCCTGCCCTTGTGGAGTTGCCTTCAGCAGGTGGTTTTTCCAGTGTGTTCTTTGGAGCCATGGGGTTTCTGGCAGTGGGTTGGGAAAGACTGAATAGGTAGCGCTCCACCTCTGACCCCTCCAGTCCAACCAGAGTATCTCTGTGTTTTTATCAATTTGATGACAACATTTGTAAGATAGCTTTTTTATTATTTAATTACAGCAGTGGGACACATTTATCATGGGCTCCTCTGAGTGTAAGATAGCTTTTTTAAAAGGGAATTCTGCTTAAAACAGGGATTTCCCTGGTAGCTCAGCTGGTAAAGAGTCTGCCCGCAATGCGGGAGACCCTGGTTCGATTCCTGGGTCGGGAAGATCTCTTGGAGAAGGGATAAGTTGCCCACTCCAGTATTCTGGCCTGGAGAATTCCATGGACCGTATCGTCCATAGTGTTGCAAAGAGTCCGATACGACTGAGCAACTTTCACTTTCTGCTTAAAACAAAGTTCACATTATCTAACCAGTTACTGAAGCTTACTGGAGGGTGTGTGCCCAAAGTTAATTTCCTGAGAGAGAGAAGCCTCTCCACAACCTAGGGTCTCTAGTCGATAGGGTTGTGGGGGCTCCGTGCACAGGTGGCCGCACCTGACTTCCAGCTCCTGAGTACTTCTGGAGTGAGAGCCCCCCAAGAAGAATAGACCTCTGGGCTTCAGGGCAAGCTCCCTGGACTGTCCCAGGAGGACACTGGACTTGTCCTCTGAGTTGCTCGATCAGCAGGGACAGGAGGGGAGGGAGGATCCTTCTCAAGTGCTGGGGCTCTAGCCCCAAAACGCAGCTTGGCCCTTGCACAGGCAGGCGTCCCCCGGGCTACCCGAAGATGTCTAATTATCCCCACCCAAGCCTGGGAGTGTGGTGCCCGAAGGAAGGATTTTAAGGGCCTGGGAGTTGTGCACATGTGTGAGTGCCCCCTGCACTTCCACACCAGGGCAGGACACCCAGGTTGTTGGGAGATGGAGTTGGAGAGGGTGCTCTCTGTGCCCTGGGGAAGTGGATGCAGGGTGAGCCTGGTAAGGGGAAGGTGCCAAGGAGGGCCCTGGAGGCCCAAGAGTGGGAGCCGCTCCCCTCCTCCCCGCACCTCGGTGTTGTTTTTGGCAATCTGCCCAGTGGGGCCTTGGCCTCGTAGCCCTGCGGCCTCAAAGTGAGGTCCTCAGGGAGGCAAGTGGCTGGAGGCTGGTGGCGGGAACTTTGCAGCTGGGGTCCTAGGCTCTGGGAAGGTCGCTGGTGCTCAGAAAGGAATGTCTGTGGGGGAAGATGACCATCCCCCCACCCCCAAGGCATTTGCACAGGTGTAGAGTCATAGGGTCCTGGGACTCCATGTCTCCCCTCCCAGTCCTCTAAGAGGCTGGAAAAGCTGGTGACAAAAAGATCCCAAAGTGACCTTTGCAGACCCTAGAGCTTTTCCCTGGTGGCTCAGTTGGTAAAGTATCTGCCTGTAAGGCAGGAGACCTGGGCTTGATGGCTGGGTCCGGAAGGTCCCGGAAGGTCCCCTAGAGAAGCAAATGGCAACCCACTCCAGTATTCTTGCCTGAAGAATCCCACAGACAGAGGAGCCTGTCGACTACTGTCCACAGGGCCACGTTGTAGTTGCCTCTGTTCCCTGTGAGATGGGCACTGCTGTACCCACTTTACAGATAAGGAGACTGACGCTCAGAGAGGGTCAGTGATTCGCCCAAGGCCACACAGCCGTGGCGTGGCAGATCACCCCGCAAGCCCAAGCCCTCCTCCCTGTGCCGCCGCACTCGGCTGCCCATCAGAACCACCCAGGGGTTGTTCTGAACGTGACGACTCCCTGGCCTCCCTCAGGATCACAGAGTCCTCGCAGAGAGCTGAGGACTTTGCAGAATCAGACCATTCTTTGGGCGATTCTGAAGCAGTTCTCAGGAGGGAGTGGCTGCAGACTCCTGCTCCATACCCAATAGGGTGAAGGGAACTGCCGGAAGGGAGGCATCAAGGGCTCCCTCTTTCCCCTCTGGGCAGTGGCTCGAGCTTCCTGGCAGTCCAAAGAGGGGTGCGCCCTGAGCCTCTTCCACTGGGTACCAGGTCACTGGGGGGCCGGCCCTCCCTGCCTGTCTGGGTCCTCAGGGTGCAGGTGCCTGGGAGGAGAGGGCAGCTGATGCCCAGGCCTAGCCTCTGCCCTTCCTCCCTCCTCCCTGCTCTGAGCTGTCCCCTTCTCCGACCAGAGGAAATGGAGCGGGCCGGGGGTGGCCCGCTGAGCTCACATCCTCCACCAGAGCCTAAATCAGGAGCACGACCCTTCCACCCCCAGAGCCCGGGCCTGGGAAGAAGGTGGTGGCGCAGGGGAAGTGCCTGGAGCCGCTGCCAGGAACCTAGGACCCTCCGCCCTCCCCGCCAAGGTCCCCAGCCCAGTCACTCGGAGGCTCTCCCCCACCGCCTTTCCGGCCATTGTTCTGGAAAAAAAAACCACATAGAGCCACCCAGGCTGGCCCTGCCCTTGTTCCTGTCACGTTATCCTGCCACTCCCTGGAGGGGCTGCCTCTCGGCCACCCCAGACCGTCCAGGCGGGCGGCAGGTGCAGAGACTTCCCTGTATTGACCTCCTTGTCCTCACCGAGGCTCAGAGAGGTCCCAGGGCTGGCCAAGGCCACACAGCCGAGCAGAGAGAGAAGAATCTGAACCACGTGCTTCCTGCTCCTCAGGCCTCTGTTCTGTCCACTGCACTGAGCGGTTCTGTGTAACGAGGACTTTCCGAGGGGGCTGCAGGATGGCTGGGAGCGGCCTCCACTCCCTCGTGGCTTCATCACTCCTCAGCTCTTACCTTTTCGGTGCAGCGTCGTTCGGCTTGGCCCTAAACGTAGCTGTCTCCCCGTCTTGTCCTGTGTGCCTCCTGCTGCAGGCTTGGTCCCTCCCTATTGGAATGAGGCCCTGTCTTGCTGGGGTATTCAGGGGCCCACTGGGGCCTGGGGGGCAGGCCTGGACCAGCACACTTGGCACCGTGCCCAGCTGGGTTGAGCCGGGCCTCCTCCTCCTCCTTCCCGGCAGGGGTGGGTTCCAGCGGGAGGCAGGGGCCGCCTGTGACAGCACTATCCTCTTCCCGAGGACCGCCGCCCCCCGCCTCCCGCGCCCTGGCTCATATGTGGAGCACACCTGCATGAACCCTGTCCCCGAGAGGGGACTGATCCAGTGTCCTACCCCTGCCCCTTTGTCCTCTTGCCACTCCTTGCCCTAGGTCAGGGAGCTGTCTGCTAGGAGCCTGTGGGTTCAGAGTCTGTAGTTCCTCCCCTGACAGGGGCTGATGGGTAGGACTGTACCAGCTTTCACTGGAGACACCGCATCTCAGGAGTATGGGCTAATGTGTAAGGAGCGCTAAATGCTGATAGCTCCCGTCTTTCACGAGGGTCAGGCATTGTACTCACAGCCCTCATGCGTGGCTTCTGTGATCAGCCCGTTTTACAGATGAGGACCCTGAACCTGAGAGGTTAAGTGACTTTCCGCAGATCACACAGTGAGTGCCTGGCAGAGCCGGCTGGGACATGGTATAGGTCTGCGTGACGCTGCCTTCCCCTCTAGCTCCATTCAGGGATGCCCCCTTGGCCGGGCATGTGGCCCTTGGGTCCAGCCCTGGCATCCACCCTCTCACTTCAAGCTTCTGGTCCCTCTCTCTTCTCTCTCAGCCCCCTCGGCCCATGGAACAATGAGACTCGCTCCTCAGCCCATTCAGGCAGGAATGCCAACCATGCGCTCGTGGGCCTGTCCTTTGAGGGCACGGCAGGCCCGGGTTGGGGGGTGGCCCATCTCCGCCCCCTTTGACTATAAACAAGTGGGGCTGGGGACCCGGGGAAGCCAGGCCACTGCTGCAGCAGCTCCTTGCAATCAGCACCCTCCAGCTGATGGGCTGGGGTGGGGGGCCCACAGGGACCAGACAGCTTGGCGGACCATGGGACAGGTGCTTTTCTGCACTCCGAGAGGTCAGCGGGAGCCGAGTGGTGGGCAGGAGGGACCCTGGGTCAGGGGTGGGTACGGGCGCCCTGACACCTCCGCTCTGACCCCCAGAGCTCCTTGGCTCCACGAAGAGGCTCAATGTCAACTACCAGGATGCTGATGGGTGAGTGAGAACCACCCCCCAATCCCTCTTGAAAACCGTGTGGTGGGGGAGGGGCGGAGAAGGATCGGGGGCCTGGAGTCCCTTTCCCTCTCAAACCCGGCCCTGGAAGCCTGTTCGCTGAGCGTTCTGGCCCCTGTCTGCCCGCGTGCCTGCCCGTGGGGCTGCCTCTGAGTGCGGGGAGGGGGCCTCTGAGAGGCCTCCTTGGGTCCCATTCCTGCTGGGCCCCCTTTTCTCCCTGGAGGGTCGGAGCCCTGGGGCTCCTGCTCCCACGGCTCCCTCCCCTGGGCCCGCTGAGGGGGAGGCCAGACAAACAGGCCTCTCAGCCCAGACACTGAGCCCTTTCATGCCGCAGCCCAGCAGCTCTGCGCTCCCACGGCACGGCTGGCAGGGTGTGTGTGTGTCGGGGGCGGGGGGGCACCGGGGGGGTCGACCACAGTGGGCAAGTAACTCAGCCACGCCAGCCCCCAGGATGAGTCTGCCCTGGAAGACCAGGATTTCGGGGGTGGGGACTGCTCCCTGACACCTCTGACCCATGTCCCACCACGCCAGCTTTTCGGCTCTCCACCATGCCGCCCTGGGGGGCAGCCTGGAGCTCATCGCCCTGCTGCTGGAGGCTCAGGCCACCGTGGATATCAAGGACAGCAATGGTGAGAGCCCAGGGTACCCCCCACCCCAGAGCCTGGGGTCAATGTGCTCCTGCCACAACACGGCAGGGCCAAGGGATGTGGACGTGGCTTCTGGGAGCTTGCAGATGCTGGACCTCGTCAGTCTTCACAGCCTCCTGGGGTCATGGGTGGTACTGACATCCCATTATCCAGCTGGGGAAGTTGAGGTTACAAAGCCATCAGATCCTCTGTGCTGGGCACGGTGGGCTTCTGGCTTCAGCCGGGCCTCTCCCTGACCACACCCAGCTTCCTCTGGGTCTGTCTCCCCTCCAGCCTGGGCTCAGTTCCCTCCCCCGATCCCAGGCCATCCCAGGACCTCCCTCAGAAACCTGTCCCCTCCTGCAGGCATGCGCCCACTGCACTACGCGGCCTGGCAGGGCCGCCTGGAGCCTGTGAGGCTGCTGCTGCGCGCCTCTGCGGCCGTGAACGCCGCCTCGCTGGACGGGCAGATCCCACTGCACCTGGCTGCCCAGTACGGACACTATGAAGTGGTACGCGAGCTTACCAGCCTACAGGGCACTGGGGCTGGGGGCAGGGGCCGGCACAGGGGGCCCGGCCAGGCCAGACCCCTCACCCAGCTCCCCCCACCCCAGTCAGAAATGCTCCTCCAGCATCAGTCCAACCCGTGCCTGGTCAACAAGGCCAAGAAGACGCCCTTGGACTTGGCCTGTGAGTTTGGACGGCTCAAGGTGAGGCCTGCTGCCCTTGGGGTAGTGGGTTCTGAGCGTGCGTGGGGTCTCCAGAGGGGAGGCCCTACCCAAGTGCCGGTTGCCGCAGGTGGCCCAGCTGTTGCTGAATAGCCACTTATGCGTGGCACTGCTGGAGGGGGAGGCCAAGGACCCGTGTGACCCCAACTACACCACGCCCCTGCACTTGGCTGCCAAGAACGGCCACAGAGAGGTCATCAGGTACCCACAGGGGCCCCCCCGGCTTCCTCCTCCTCTTCCCATGGGACTGATAACGTCCCCTCAGTGCCCTGCCCCGCTGCCCTCTTCACCCTTGCTCTGGATGGCTCTCCCAGCCCCCAGCGATCAGCTTCTTCTCCTTCCGTACCCGCTGCCCCCCACGCCAGTCACTCGCCCTCCCGTCTGCAGGCAGCTCCTGAGAGCTGGGATTGAGATCAACCGCCAGACCAAAACAGGCACAGCGCTCCACGAGGCCGCACTGTATGGCAAGACTGAGGTGGTGCGGCTGCTCCTGGAGGTGGGTGTGGACCCCTGGTCACCCCGCAGGTGTATACAGATCCCCGCCAGGTGCCAGATCCAAGACCGGCTGGGGAGGCCGGAGAAGGGGTGTCTTGCACTGGTGGGGCCCAAGTGGCTGGAAAGCAGACAGACCTGGTTTGAGCCCCAGTTCCACCTTTCACTGGCTGAGTGACCTTGAGCTCGTCCCAGAACGAATCTGAGCTTCCATTTCCTCGTGTAAAATATGAAAACAGTAGCTACTTCCTGGGTAGTTGTGGGAATTGGGAGAAGCGGCCAACCCGGTGCTCAACACAGGCTCGCCCCACTTTGTGCACCCAGGGCGGGGTGGACGTGAACATTCGGAACACATATAACCAGACGGCGCTGGACATCGTGAATCAATTCACCACTTCCCAGGCCAGCCGGGAGATTAAGCAGCTATTGCGGGGTGAGTGTGGTGGGGAGAAGACCCAGCCCAGGGCGTTCAGAGCCACTCCAGAGGGTCCCTGGGAGTGGAGGAGCAGATGTCACATTCCTGGGGCTGGCTGGAGGGATGCTGTGGGGATGAGGAGGCAGGGACCTAGGGGAGGGTCATGAAGGGGACTGGAGGGGTGGGAAGATGCCCTGGGAACCCTCATATGACACCCGTCCTCCTCCTCGTCTCAGAGGCCTCAGGGATCCTGAAGGTCCGGGCCCTCAAGGATTTCTGGAACCTCCACGACCCCACTGCCCTCAATGTCCGGGCAGGGGACGTCATCACGGTGAGGACCCGATGCAGGCATTCCTTTGAGAACACAATTGGTTGCTATCACTTATTTGGGCACCTGCTATGGATCAGGCTCTGTGTTAAGGTCTTTATTTGCACGATCTCATTGAATTCTTCCCCGTCTAAGTAAGGTAGGCGTTCCTACCTCTTCCTTTTTTAGAGCTGACAGAATTGAGGCTTAGAGAATTAAAGTGATTTGTCCAGAGTCACACGCTAGCCTGCAGTGGAGCTGGGGTCTGAACGGGGGCTCACTGCAGACTCTTTGTTTGCCCTGGAGGCAACCCAGGGGTTGGGCTGGATGCTGGCAGGGGCAGGACTGTAAGCCCACTTGAGCGTCCGGGGAGCTCCCTGGGGGGACGGGAGGAGCTGGACCGAGGCTACGGGGCTGGCCGCTTGGCACAAGAAGTGACCATCCCCCTGCCCGTCTGCCACAGGTGCTTGAGCAGCATCCAGACGGCCGCTGGAAGGGCCACATCCACGAGAGCCAGAGGGGCACCGACCGCGTGGGCTACTTTCCCCCGGGCATCGTCGAGGTGGTCAGCAAGCGGGTGGGTGTCCTGGCACCCCGCCTCCCCTCTGTGCCCACCCCCCTGCGCCCAGGCTTCTCCAGGACGCCACAGCCCCCTGCCGAGGAGCCCCTGCATCCCCTCACCTATGGCCAGCTGCCCCGGGTGGGCCTCAGCCCAGACAGCCCAGGTACGTCCTCCCCGGGAGTGGGTAGGGCGATACTGGGCCCCAGGGTGAGCATCTGGCTCTGGCCAGCTGCCAGCCAGCTGTGGGCGGGGCCCACCGGGGTTCTGACCGCTTGGCTCCTGCCCCTGCAGCAGGTGACAGGAACAGCGTGGGCAGCGAGGGCAGCGTGGGCAGCATCCGCAGTGCTGGCAGCGGGCAGAGCTCCGAAGGCACCAATGGCCACAGCACTGGCCTCCTTATCGAGAACGCCCAGGTGGGTGGGGGGTGGGGGGTGCTTGGGACCAGGGCTGGACCCCTTCTCCTCCCCTTCCCCCGCCTCCCACTGCCAGTTCCCCAAACAAGAGACAGCTCCTTCCCGTCTCCAGCCGCTGCCCTCTGCCGGAGAGGACCAGGTGCCTCCAGGACTACAGCCCCCGTCCCTGGCAGGTAGGAAGGGAGACGGGGACCTGGGTGGGCCAGGAGAGATGCAGGTGGGGCAGCTGAGGACCTGGCATCCCTTCATCCTGCCACCCTGAATGCATTTCTCTCCATCCTCAAAGACAACCCAAACCACCGCCCTCTGGCCAACTATCGCTCGGGGGAGCAGCACTTCACCCAGGACGTGAGGCCTGAGCAGCTGCTGGAGGGGAAGGTGTGACCTCCACCGGGGAGGTGGCTATGGGCCCAGAGGAGGGGGCGGGATGGGCCTCAGCATGGACTTGAGTTCCTGTTCGGACCAGGCCCCTGGGGGTGGGGCTGGGATCGATGGCTGGGCTGTGGCCTTGGCACTCAGCAACGCCCCCCAGCAGGCTCAGCACCATTAACGGCACCCCCTCCCCGCAACTTGCAGGATGCTCAGGCCATTCATAACTGGCTGAGCGAGTTCCAACTGGAGGGCTACACTGCACACTTTCTGCAGGCCGGCTACGACGTGCCAACCATCAGCCGCATGACGCCCGAGGTCTGTGCCACAGCGGGAGGGCGGGGCAGGAGCCCTTGGCCAGGGGAGGGGGCCTGATGGCACGACTCTGTGTGGCAGGACCTGACGGCCATTGGGGTGACCAAGCCTGGGCACAGGAAGAAGATTGCCTCGGAGATTGCCCAGCTGAGCATCGCCGAGTGGTTGCCCAACTACATCCCAGTGAGTGGGCGGCAGGCACGGGCTCCCACCGCCGGCTGAGGCTTCACGTCGCGGGGGCTGATGGTGCGGCTCTTGCAGGCGGACCTGCTGGAGTGGCTGTGCGCCCTGGGGCTGCCGCAGTACCACAAGCAGCTGGTGAGCAGTGGCTACGACTCCATGGGGCTGGTGGCTGACCTCACCTGGGAGGAGCTGCAGGAGATCGGCGTCAACAAGCTCGGTGAGGACCGCCCTGGGCCTCCTGGCTGGGCCCCCGCTTGCCTCCAAGGGTCCCCAAGATGCTCCGGGGTCCAGGAGGGATGAGGGGCACCCTCTCCAGCCCCAGCTCACCCTGCCGCCTCTATCCGCCCGCTCTCAGGTCATCAGAAGAAGCTCATGCTGGGGGTGAAGCGGCTGGCTGAGCTCCGGCGGGGCCTACTGCAGGGGGAGTCTCCGGGGGAAGGCGGCCGCCGGCTGGCCAGGGGCCCAGAACTGATGGCCATTGAGGGGCTGGAGAACGGGGATGGGCCCCCTGTGGCCAGCCCACGCCTCCTCACCTTCCAGGGCAGCGAGCTGAGCCCCGAGCTCCAGGCGGCCATGGCAGGTGGCGGCCCCGAGCCACTCCCCCTGCCCCCTGCCCGCTCCCCCAGCCAAGAGAGCATTGGGGCCCGCTCACGGGGGTCTGGTCACTCGCAGGAACAGCCTGCCCCTCAGCCAGGTGGTGGGGACCTCAACGCCCCACAGGAGAGGAATCTTCCAGAGGGCACAGAGCGGCCCCCTAAACTCTGTTCCCCACTTCCTAGCCAAGGGCCCCTGCCTTACGTTTTCATGTACCCCCAGGCCTCACCCTCCAGCCCTGCCCCTGGGCCGCCTCCGGGCACTCCCCGGGCCTTCTCCTACTTGGCCGGCTCCCCGGCCACTCCTCCAGACCCCCCGCGGCCCAAGCGCCGGTCCCACAGCCTGAGCCGCCCTGGCCCAGCCGAGGGGGAGGCCGATGGGGAGGCCGAAGGGCCAGTGGATAGTGCCCTGGGCAGCTACGCCACCCTCACTCGGCGACCAGGACGCAGCACCCTCGCCCGGACCAGCCCCAGCCCAACCCCAACGCGGGGGGCTCCCCGCAGCCAGTCCTTTGCCCTCCGGGCTCGCCGAAAAGGCCCCCCACCCCCGCCCCCCAAGCGCCTCAGCTCCGTCTCTGGCTCCACCCCGGAGCCCCCACCACCGGATGGAAGCCTGGGGCCCAAGGAAGGGGCCACAGGGCCCCGGAGGCGAACACTGAGCGAACCCACAGGCCCCTCAGAGCCGCCTGGCCCACCTGCCCCGGCCGGCGCCGCATCGGACACGGAGGAGGAGGACCCGGGGCCCGAGGGGACACCCCCATCTCGGGGCAGCTCAGGGGAAGGGCTCCCCTTTGCGGAGGAGGGGAACCTGACTATCAAACAGCGGCCCAAGCCGGCAGGACCCCAACCCCGGGAGACGCCGGTGCCCACTGGCCTTGACTTCAACCTCACAGAGTCAGACACTGTTAAACGGAGGCCCAAGTGCCGGGAGAGGGAGCCACTGCAGACGGCACTCCTGGCCTTTGGAGTGGCAGGCGCCACGCCCAATGCCCCTGCCCCCCAGCCCTCGCAGATCCCCAGCGAGTCCCCCGCGGCCTCTCCCAGCCCTCCCCGGCCTGACCTGAGCAGCCTTCCCACCCCCGGAGCTCCAGCCCCTCTTCCCACCAGCCCCCCGGCCCAGCCCCCTGGGCCGGCCCTGGAAAATAGTCGGCGGCCTGGGGAGACTGAGCCCCCTGCTGCCCCCGCTGCCCTCATCAAGGTGCCCGGAGCAGGTATGAAGCCAGGGCCTGCGGGGAGAGGTTGGTGTGGGTAGGGCCTGTGTCCGGCTCAGCTGAGTCACAGGCCAACCTCTTTGTCTCTGCAGGAACAGCCCCCAAGCCTGTGTCGGTGGCCTGCACCCAGCTGGCATTTTCCGGCCCTAAGCTGGCTCCCCGGCTTGGTCCCCGCCCGGTGCCCCCTCCAAGGCCAGAGAGCGCGGGGGCCGCGGGCCCGGGCCGGGCCCAGCAGAGACTGGAGCAGACCAGCTCGTCGCTGGCAGCTGCACTGCGGGCCGCGGAGAAGAGCATTAGTGCAGAGGAGCGAGAGGGGTGAGGGTGCTGGGAGAACGGGAGATGGAGACGTAAGAGCGGCTCCCCATCCCCCCGAGTCCTTCCCCCAGGGTCTGGGGATGATGGGGAGGGGCCATCAGTGTCATGGCAGGCAGGCAGATCCTCAGGCTGGGGGGGTCCCCACGGGAAGGGGTCACCCAGATCTGGCCTGCAGGCAAGTGGCACTTAGAGGCACACGAGCTTGGACCAGTCACTTCTTTCTGTGAACCCCAGTGCCTCTGTAGGAGGAAGGGTCAGTGACTCCCATGACCTTGGGAAGTTGTGAGAGACAGGGCAAGATGCACACCTGGCGCTCGCCCCAGCCAGGCCCTGTGCCCAGGGCCAGCAGGGTGCAGACTGCCGGCTCGTCTGACCTGGCCCTTCCCTGCTGCAGCGCCCCCGGCGCCTCCGCCAAGCACATCCTAGATGACATCAGCACCATGTTCGACGCCCTGGCTGACCAGCTGGACGCCATGTTGGACTGAGCCGGATATGCCGGCGGCCTTCGGCGGCCCCCACTGCTGCCTCCCACAGCGCCCGCCGCCTCCCCCAGCGCAGAAGACGCCCCTGCCGCCCGAGCGGGGCCCCTCCTGCTGCCCCCAGCCTGTGGCCTTCCCCACAGCAGCCCCATGTGGAGCAGAGAGGACTTTTCAGAACCTGACGTCTCAGCAAAGCCCCCTCATCCCTGCAATGTGTGATCTGACGGGAGGACCCTGCTTCTCAGACAGGGACCCTGGTAAGAGCTTCCTGTCCAGGAAGAGTGGTGGCCGGGCTTCTGGGGTGCCTTCTCTGTCCACCCCCAACCTGTGTCTCAAGTGCCTGTGCCAAGGTCCCCTGGCCACCCGCCGTGCAGTCCTGGCGTCCTGAGAGGCTGGAGGCTGTGGTGTGTCTGGCCGGGCCCCGGCAGGTGCACACAGGATGTGTCAAGGGCCAGGGCCTGCTCTCACCATCAGCGGCACCCAGCCCGCCTCGGGCCCCGGCTCTGCCTGCCCTCAGCGAGGCAAAGCTGTCTGCGGCAGGGCCGGTGGAATTAACGGATCCCTTGAACAGATCCCCAGAGTCCAAACGTTTCCAACTGTAAATGTTATTTTTTAAGCAGAGAGAAATGCATATATTTTAAATGGAATTTATTCTATCTATAACTGCCTGTGAGGACTAAGTGGTGGGGGTGGGGGGCTTCGGACCACAGTGAGAGCACCCACTGCCCGCCATGGGACTGGAAGCCTGACCTGCCTGGCCAAGGCCCCGGCTCTGTAAGCATTTAACCTCTTCCCCCAACTAACACCAATGAAAGTGTCATTCCACGAGACCGTGCTGTGTCTTTGGATGTGCGCCGTGAACCTCTGAGCCCAGGGGTCGCGCCTGAGCCAGACCCGAGCGCCCCCACCAATGTGCGGTGGGGGGAGGGTAGAAGACTTGGCCCCCCCCCAACTCACCTTCAGGGAGGGGCTCCCTCACTGGCCTGACCCTTGGGTGGGCCCCTTCGTGGCTGCCTCAGGGACCAGCCACAGGTTTTGCTTCAGCAGTTTATAAGTTTTAATACAAACCAGTCTGTATTCATTCCCAAAAGGCTCATTTCCAGTAAAAAATATACACCAGTAAAAACATTCTCACAGGGTAACTGGGGCTGAGGCTGGAAGGAGGTCCCAGGCTGCGCCCCCGGGACTGGCTCCAGGGCCTGCCCGAGGGCGGCCTGGGAGGAGGTTCTCGGGCCAGGCGGGGGCTCGGCTCCGTCTTCAGGCCCTAGCGTGAGGCCCCCCACAGAGGAGGAGTGGGCTCTGCCCCAGGAAGACAGGACGAGGGGGACCCGGGGAGGGCGCCCCGCCACCCGGCCTCCAGCAGCGCCATGGAGGACCGCTGGCACGTCCCAGGACTGCCCTCCCACCAGAGGCCCCACGGTCCACAGCTCTGCCCAAAGACCAGGCGGCACTCGGTCAGGGGGCCCTGGAGGGGGGCAGCCCACAGGTGGAGGGGGCTGAGGGCCCCTCTGCTAAGCACACGAGGTCATACATTCAAGAGCCCAGGGGTCTCCCCCTGGCAAGGAAGAGCCAGACGGTCCTGGGCTGAGGCTGCAGCTCTGCGTCTCCGCGGGAAGCCCCGGGATGGGGACCACATCTGGGTCTGACACCGGGAGCTGGGCCTCCAGGGCCCCGTGGCACAAGAGCAAACCCTGAAACGTTCATGATATCAACTCCCCAGACGCAGAAACGGGTGTGGCTTCAGCCCCAGGGACCACGGCAACTATGGTCGCCACGGCCAGAGGCTCAGAAGGGGGAGTTCATGCCCAGCTTAGTTTCAAACTGCAGCTTCTGTCGCTTCTGGTAGCGGACGCGGACCCTGGTGGGTGGAGATTGAAGACCAGGTTAGCGCAGACACCGAGACCAAGGGTAGACAGGATGCAGAGGTCGGCAGGAAGGCTGACGTGGGATGAGGCCAGGAGGTGACCGGCTTAGGGAGCACGCCTGAGCCCAGAGGGGACACGCCCGGCCAGTGGCTCACCGGATCTCATGCAGCTTCACGACCTCGTTGGTGACCACCACGAGGACCAGGGACAGGCAGCCCAGGAGCCACGTCAGCAGAGGCACGTCCTCCAGGCCGAAGTGGACGCGGCTGTCCCTGTGTGTCCACAGCTGCAGGTCCACTGCCGTCTGGGCCACCTGCCCCAGCAGCCTACGGGAGGCGGCAGCCCCGCATTAGCCGGGGCCCCCTGCTTCCTTCCCTGCCCTTCTCGGCAGGAGGCGCGCCCTGAGGGTGCCGTTCAGTCTCTGGCCGCCCACCCCCCGGCTCCCGCCCTCCACCCCAGACTCACACCACGGGCACGGTCACGGCCCACCACAGGTTCGTCAGGGGGCTCTTCCTCCACAGGGGCTTGGTGCGGTGTACGTGGGTGATGGAGATGAAGACTGGGGAAAACGGGGCCGTCGCACGTGTCAGACGTCCCATGGCCAGAGGCCTCGCCCTGGGGAGTCCCCCTGGCCCCCACCCGGCACCAGGGCACCGCTCACCGGTGTGTAGGACGATCAGGGCGGCAGCGAGCTTCTGAGCCGAGAGCAGCCCGTTGGCGAAGTCGTCAAACCAGGCTGGGGCCGTGTCGGCGTGGCTGCCAAGGCAACGTGTGGGCTCAGCCTCCTCGGGGCCCCAGGGAGGTGGCCCCGGGGGTGAGGGTGAGGGGCGGGACCCACCTGGGCAACATGATGGAGGAGCAGTCAGTGAGGTTTCGGGCCCGGGACCTGTCGCAGAAGTTCTGCAGTGTGAAGGCAAAGCAGGTGAGGCACGAGCTGATGGTGAGGCTGAACTTCAGCAAGAAGCAGAGTAGAAAGTAGTGCTGGGTCTGAGGGAAGAGGAGGTCCGTCACTCGGGTGCACGGGTTCAGGGGTCCTCAGGAAGTGGGTGGGCCCGGGGGACAAGAGCAAGGAGCCTTCCCCACTCTGCAGCCCCCTCCCCTTTGATGGGATTCCCCCCTCGCTCCCCCAGGGCTCAGCCCCCGCCACACTCACCTTCCTCGGGAAAAGCCCAGGCCCACGGGCTCCACGTCGCTTACCTTCTTAGGAATGGACTGAAGGTTCTTCCCCGTTGCCATAGACATGATGGAGCTATGTGGAGGCTTCCCCAGCAGAGAGATGCTGAAAAGCAGGGACTCGGTGAAGCGTGGGGACTGTGACCCCGTGTCCCCTAATTCTCTTTTTTTCTAAGTTATGCTTTTCTTTTTTTAAATATTTATTTTTATTTATTTATATGGCTGCACCGGTTGATCTAGTTCCTCAACCAGGATTCGAACCTGGGTGCCCTGCATCGGGAGCATGGAGTCTTAGCCACTGGACCTCCAAGGAAGTCCCCGTGTCCTCCAATTCTTCCCAAGGAGAAGCTTTTCAGGAGTCCCAAGAGCGAGGGCAACTGTGCTGGGCAGTCGGGCTACGACAAGGAAGGGACTCCCTTGGGGCTGGGGGGCCCCCGCAGTGGGGGGCACTAGCATGGCTTCCTGAACCTGGGCTTCTGGGGACGCTGGGAGACATCCTGACCCTGGACCCTGGAGCCGGATGATGCTGATGACCCAGGGGGTGGCCCGGCCTCTCACCTGAGCAGAGGGTAGCAAAAACAGGACAGCCACAGGATGTCGGTGGTGCTCAGGATTGGCGGCAGCTGGACGAGGCAAGAGAGGAACTGGGCCAGGAAGAGCCAGGAAGCATGATTAGATTCTAGCAAAGAGTCAGATGCTAGGAGCCCCGGGGCTGCCCTGCCCTGCTCCCAGAGGGCTGGAGGGGACACAACTCTGTAGCGGGGGTTCTCAGAAGCTCTGGGGGGCCCCCAGGCTGTGCTGCCTCTTCCCAGCCTCTCACCTGGCCCTGGGGCACAGGAGCCGGGTGTTGGGGGGTGATGCCCGTGCCGGCCCCACCTTACCTGGATGACCACAAGTGTCAGCTGGCACTGCAGCAGGAAGAGGAAGCACTTGCGGACGCCGTAGGTGGCATGCCGGGCCTAGGGAGCGGGAGAGGCGGGGGGTGGCTGTGCTCAGGCCCTGCAGCTGACATGCTTCAGCCAGATGTGGCGGATGTTCACGCTAGCGAGTGGCCGGGGCACGCTAAACCTCCTGGGAGAGCTTCGCGTAGAGGTGAAGCGCCCCCGCGAGCCCAGGAGGGTCCTGCACATGACTCCCCGCCCCCAGCAGGCTCTGACCTCTGCCCCCGGGCCTGCCTGAGCCCCACCTGCTCGATGAGCCGGATGATGCTGATGGTCTCCTCCTGGCGGAAGGTCAGCGAGCAGGGCAGGCTGTTGAGCTGCCCCGAGAGCTGCAGGGGGGAAAGGCCATCCGAGGCCTGGGCCATGCTGGTGCTGGTGGCGTAGCCGAAGGTCTCCCAGGAGCAGCGGGACGGGTACAGGGGGTCCAGGGCAATGCTGCTCAGCATGGGAGGGGGGAAGTGAAGTGTGCCCATCAGCTGGGGTCCGCCAAGACCCCATCCATCTCCCAGGGGACCGAGCCAGCGCCCTGCTCCCTTATCTCCCCGCCATGCCCAGGCCTGTCGTGGGGAGTCTGGGCTCTGGGCTGTTGCGCTGACCTGACATCGCTCTGGAGGAAGAGGCAGCTGTTCCGCAGGTTGGCGGAGCTGCCCAGGCAGCAGGTCACTTCCCCGTACTCCTGCATGATCTTGATCATCTCACACATGGCTGAGGGGGCAGAGTCAGGGGCACAAGGGTCAGGCAGGTGGAGCCCCACGTGGGGCGCTGGGCAGAGACCCACAGGCCAGGGCAGGAGACAAGGGAAATCAGGCCCCTCTTTGGAGCCATCCCACCCCCAATGTCATACACATTGTACAAATACTGTCACTTCTGAGTCCCTAGAATGGGCTACGCTGGGCTCCTGCCCACAAGACTCCCCGGCTCCTCCCAGCCCAGCTTCCTCTGCCCCCTGCATGGGAAACCAACACCCCTCCGGAGCCCATGGGGTGCCAGGGGCTGGCAGCGCTCCACCAAGGGCCGGGCTGGCTGAGCGCCCAGCCACAGCACTCACTCTCGGGGGTACAGTCGGTGAAGAGGGGCACCAGCAGGGGCACGTTATCAATGTTCTGCAGGTGGGGCCGCACCTGGTGGATGCCCCGGGGGAGCTTGGCCTGCAGGGAGCAGAGACGCGCGTGGCCTCAGGACCCCTCCTCCCTCCTTCCCTTGCTCCCCTGCCCTGGACCAGCCCCGCTGCCAACCCCAAGGCTCCGGGGGCACAGTCGTACCCGGTTGCAGTCCTCCAGGAAGCTGGGGAGGTCGCTGTCCGTGGGCTGGAAGCTAATGAGGTCCGAGTGACCCTCCTCCTCCATTAGAAGGAGTCCTTCCACGTCCTCTCGGGACGCTGAGGGGACAAAAGCCTTTCCCTCACCATGGGGCCAGCCTTCTGGGGGCCCTTCCCAGCCCTGAAGACGGCACAAGACTTCCTTCTCGAGCTCTCCTCTCCCCCAACCCCGTCGACTGCAGCTACCGCGGGGGCTCACAGCCAGCTTCCCAGGAGGGACCCAGGGAAGTTCCGGCTGTAGCTCCAAGGACGGGGGACGGCCCACACCCGACCTCTGCCCTCACCCTGGTTCAGGTCGTCGTGCAGGGAGCCAGCGTGGCTAGGGCTGGAGGGGGGGATCTCGGAGCCGGGTATATCACCGTTGGGCGTGAGGGAGATGTGGCAATTCCAGCCCGTCTCCAGGCCCATCTTCTCCGCAAACACCTGCACCAGGCAGACGGTGGTGACCAGAGGGGCCCAAGAGGCTGTGGGGAAAGGGGCGGCAGGAGCAGAGAGGTCGGCAGCTGCCCACCTTGCTTCTGAGCTCATCCTCCAATGAGAAGTAGACAAAGCGGATGCAGGCGTTGACCAGCCCGTCGATGAGGCGCACGATGTCCAGACGGGCCTGGTACTGGGAGGACACCATGCCCATGAAGATCTGGCCGCTCAGGGCCTGCATGCAGTCTTCCTTCTCCAGCACCTCCCCGATCCCTTCTTCAGGAGGCACCAGGCACAGAGCCCGGCCAGGACACCCAGGAGCCGGGGGTTCATGCCCAGATCAAGGAGCACATGGGCCCCAGGGGACCACACACGTGTACAACCAAGACAGAAAAGGAGCCGACAGACACGGGGGCGGACGGGGATGGTGGGGGAGAGACAAGGAAAGGTACTCATCAGTCAGGTGACCAAGCCTGGTCCAGGGCCAGGGGGCAGGCCCCACCCTCAGCCTTGGCTTCAGTTCACGGGCTCTTGGGTCACGAGACCCCGGAAGGCTGTGTGTCTGACGGAGTGGAGAGGGGTGCGTGGAGTTCTGAATCCCTCTGTTGTAGCAGCGTTTGCGACCAGGTCTTTTGTCTGATTCCAATCAGGCTAAGGCTCTATATACACTACTGCTTTAAAACCTTCAGAGTAAGCACTTTTCTATATGTCACCCCACTGGAGCGGTACCACGAACCGTGAGCAGGGCACAGGAAGCACCTGTTTACAGATGCCACTAAGGAACCTGACCACATCACCAGACAGGGAGCCACCAAGGTGTTCCAGGCCTAGTGCTGCCTGCTGTCCCCTCTGCCAGGCTTTCATCCAGGCCCCTGCAAGCTCTCCCGGCCCCTGGCCCCCGGGGACAGGGCCCACGGTACCGTCTGAGCTCCAGCTGCCGCGGCGGGCGCTCAGCTTGATGGGAATGGTGCTGGGCAGCTCGCACATGGTGAAGATGCTGTTCTGGCCAGGCGCCTGCACCAGCTCGATGCACTTGCCATTGAGCTGGGAGGACAGGGCACAACTCATGGGCTTGTAGGCGAAGGCAGAGCAGTAACCAGACAGGCAGGCTCGCTGGTAGAAATCCAGCACTTTCTTTCTGCCAGGGAAGCAGGGTGGAAGTGAGGTGAGTGGTCCCAGGGTGTCCCGACCTCTGGGTACCCAGCCGGGGCCAGTGGTTCTCACCACCGGCCACGTGCCTCCTCACCGACCTGTCGGAACCCGAAAGAGGATAGATGTCAGCTCCGTCCCAGAAGTCTGTGCAGGCTTCTAAAACCACATCAGCCGTGCCATGGGACAGCATCTGCTCTGTGCCTGAAGATAGCGGAGGAGAGGGAGGCCCTGAGTGCCCCAAGCCACCACCCCTCCAGCTGACCTCCGAGCACATATCGCCACCCTTGAGAAGGATGCTAAAAGGAGCCCCTGGGTGGGGGGCGGGCCGTGGGAATCCCCCAGGCATCATGGCAGCAAACCTATCGGCAAGGCCACTGAGTGCATAACATGGGCACAAGGCCGCCAGTCCTCCAGGCAGTCCCACGACCTGCAGCATCCACCATCCCAGCCCCCATCCCCAAAGCCCATCTCTGCCATGTGTGAGGTCTCAGGGAGGATCTAATGCTCCCTAGAAGGAGCCCCGTCCTGCCACACTCCCGGGAGGCTCACTGGTGGTGGTGTCCTTGATGAAGAGGCTGATCATGTGGCTGAGCGGGGGCCGCCGCTTGGTGACACAGGACAGCCTCCCCAGTGAGGTCTCCTTCATAGTCTCGGCGCTGGGGAGACGGTAGAGTGCGAGGTGGTTCCCCTGCTTAAAGAGCTCCTTGGCCCCGGGAGTGAAGCCTGTGGGACGGGTGGATGGATGAATAAACAGACAAGATGCAGGTAAAGGGGCCGGAAGCGCAAAGGGGTGCCAGGCGCTCTTGACCGAGGCCACATCTGGCCGCGGGGGCCCAGCCCCTGAGAAGAGTCGCCAGGCAGCCTACCGATGAGGCGGGCGAGCTCGCAGAGGCCCCAGGGCACGCGCACGGGCAGCACGGTGCTGCGGCTCTCCTGCAGGGCGACGTTGCACAGGTGGTCTGAGAACCGGCAGAGCCGCTCGGTGACGCTGGCGTCGCACAGGTTCAGCAGCACGTTGAGGCCCAGCGGCTTGAGCGAAGTGAGGTGCAGCTGCCAGTTGGAGTCGTCGAACTGGATGCAGGAGGGGTTCTGCTGGTCCTGGGACAGGCTGAGCATCTCCAGGTGGTAGTCACACACGAAGTCCTCAGCTTCGTAGGGCTCGCCCTCCAGGCCGTGCTGGGTCTGGAGGAGAGGAGGAGGGGAAGGGGGGGAGCTTAGACTGAAGTGGGGGGGCGGTGGTACGGGCAGTGCCCGTGAGAAGGCATGCCCCCCGAGCAGGGCATGCTCCTGCTCACGCTCTCCCGGCCCTCCCCACACCCCTCTACACCCTTCCTGGCTCCAGGGGCTTCTAGGGTCGATGCCCAACAACACTGTCACCAGCTCAGAGGAGGCTGTCCAGACTGGGCAAGAAATGATGAAGCCTCTCTCAGCCAGGGGAAATATCTTTAGAGGGAACTCCTGGCTTTCTGTCTTTTGAAGGCTGCAATCAGGAGAAAGGGTCTTGCCCCAACCAATTACCACCATCGACCAAACCCGGAAAAGGGGGAGGGGCCTACTTTGGGGAAGAACCAGGGATGAGGCCTCTGGAGCTGAGAACAGGGGCCAGGATGTCTGAGCCCCAGGCTCCACCTGCCCGGGCTGGGGGGCACCTCTGCGGCCCCCTCCAGCAAAAGAGGCCAGGGTGCCCCGTGACGGATGAGGTGGCGACTCCCCGGGCCCCCCTCACCTTGCCGGGGTCATCATCTTCGCCGCCCTCCGTGTCCCTGCTGAAGCTCACGCTGGAGCCAGACAGGTGTTTGCTGCGGCCGTGTACCCGGTGGTGAGGGTGGGTTTCAGGCGCCTTGGGACCGTCACCTGGCCAGTTGCTGCCACGCTCCTGCTCGTTGGAAAGGTGCAGGGGAGCGTTCAGGGAGCCGGCCAGGAGGGCGTCGCGTTCGTGGGGCTGAGGAGAGCAAGGAGCACAGGCCTCGGACCCCAGTCCTGAGGTCGCCTCGGGCCAGGAGGCCGGGCCGCTACGGCCTCCCGGGGCCCCGTCTCCACGGGCGCTCCTGAGGCCTGAGCCCTCCTCCTCCTACCGCCTCCCCTCACCCCACCCCCCGCCTCGTGGAGGCCACCATCCCGGCCCAGGCCACACCTCCTCCTCCACCTCGGGATGGCAGAAGGAGCGGGTGGACAGGTCGTCCGTGAGGTCCTCGTGGCTGCCGTGGGCGGGCTCCACCTTCCCGCTGAAGAACAGCACAGTCTCCGGGCTGGGGTTGGGCCACGACAGGATCCCCTGTTTGTCCACACAGCACAGCACCTGCAGGGGGAGACGGCGACAGGGAAGGGGGCGCGGCATTCCCCAGGCTGCTGGGCGCTCCGGAGGGCCGCCCTCCCCAGGGCCGCCCTCACCGTCACGGAGCCCAGGCTGTGGAGCAGGCTGGAGCTGTGGCTCAGTGTGGGTGACGTCCCCTGGATCACCCGCAGGAAGTGGCCCCAAATGCAGCGCAGCATCTCCTGGGGGCAGAGACAAGGTGCTCGGCCACGTTTCCCTGGAGATGGCCTTGGGGACCAACAGAGGAAACAGTCCGGGGGGAGCATGTGCCGCCCCCAGCAGTGACACATTACCCACATGGGACGGGGAGCCAGGGGGCTCTGAGAGGGAAGCTCACAGCCATAATGCAGGGGCACCCGGGGGCTCCACAAGGGGCCTGGGGGAGCTCAGGCTGGGGATGCAGGGCCAGCATACATCCGGGCGAGGGTACCTGAGAGGACACAGCTTCTGTATAGCTGCTGAGAGTGTCCTCCGAGAACTTGGCGAGCTGCATGGAGAAGAGGGCATGAGTCTTGGGGAAGAAACTGCCACCGTCCCAGGGCCTCGGAGTGGGCGGGTGGGGGCCTCACACCTCTCGGTGACGGACACCGGGCAGCCCCGGAACCCCTGACTGCTGAGAGCAAGGGTGGATGGACACCCGGCCGTCCCTGGGGCCTGGTCTGGAGACCCTGCTGGCTAGAGAGGGCAGAGCCCTTGGAGAGCTGCCCAGGGCCGGCCGTGTGCTGGGCCGCAGGGCAGGAGGTAGGGCGGCCGCACTTCTGCCCTCTTTGCTGGGCGCACAGCCCACTCTGTCTTTCTGTTCCTGTCTTTGGCTCTTTCTGCACTGTCCCCCACCCCCTCCCTGAGGCCCGGGAACAACTGACCAGGGAGCTGGGGGAGGCCTTGCTCATCTGGGCCAGGACGCGGGCTTCTCCACAGGCGGTTGCCAGGACCCAGAGGACCGGGAAGAGCAGGGGGAGGATGGGCAGGACACCATTCACCTGGGAAGGAGCGAGCCCCGCTGAGACCCCAAGAGCCACTGGCGGAGGGAAAAAGGAGGGGGCAGGGCTGCCCCCTCCCCAGCCCTGGGGCCCTCCCTGAGTGAACAGCATCGCGGGGGCAGCGGGTGGGACGGGGAAGGGAAGCACGCACTCGGTAGAGGAAGTCTGGGAGGCCCTGGGCTGGGGGTGGGAGGGGCAGTCAGGGCACCCCGAGGGCCCATCTCTGCGGAAGGGGAGGAGGGGGCGGTCTTACCTGCAGCTGGAGGAGGGTGTACTGCCAGCTGGTGACACCCGGGGCGTTCAGCATGAAGCGCAGGGCGTTGGTGATGAGGAAGCTGGCCTGTTGGGGACAGGAGAGACGCTGCCTTAACCCTCCCCGACCCCAGGGGGGACCCAGGCTCTGAGGCACCCCATCTTCTGCCCACTCACGCTCCCCCACCCCCGGCACTGGCCGGCTCACCCCGGGACCCTCCCGTCCGCGCTCACAGGCTTGCCTGAGCCTGGCCCCCAGGTTCCCCCAGCCCCTGGCCCCCCGCGGCCCCCACCACGGCCCGGCCGCACACACCAGGACCAGGGGCACCGCATAGCGCAGCATCACCGACTGCACCGAGAACCTCTCGTTGTCCAGAGCGGTCACCGGGCGGGACAGGGCCATGTCCAGGCACCACCTGCAGAAAGAGCCTTGGGTCCTGCAGCTCCCCCTCCCCTCCCGGGCCCTGGCCCCGGGACAATGGCCTCCTGGCCACTGTGGCCCATGGCCATCTCTGAAGCCGTCTCTTCAGAGTCCAGACTGAGAGGGGGTCAATCACCCAGTCTAAGAATTCTCACAAAAGGGACTTCCTTAACAATCCACCCTGCAGTGCAGAGGACGCGGGTTCAATCCCTGGACGGGGAACTAAGATCCCACAGGCCGTGGAGAAACTAAGGCCACATGATGCACGTACTGAGCCTTCGAGTCACAACTACACCCTGAAACAGCCAAGTAAACAAACTGGAAAAAAAATAAGAATCCTCACAAGAAGCTAAAGCGAAGGCCCCGCAGGTGCTTGCTCTAAGGGGCCTGGGTACGAACCAGGCTCCTTCCTGTCGTCATCGCCGGCTCACGGCTCACGGGGGGAGGCTCTGGGGGGAGAGGGTGGGGGACAGCGCAGCGCCCCCACCTGATGTTGTCGATCACGGGGGTCTCGAGGACACGGAAGAGCCGGTGCTGCTGGGGGTTTTGTGGCCCTTTCTTCACTTCTCCCCGGGGGGATGGGGGTGGCGAGAAAGGGGGGAACAGATCTCCCGGCTCCAAGACAATGTGCTCGTCGTCCTGCCAGAGACAAAGGGGAGCAGGGGGAGGGTAATCAATGGGTCCCGGGGAAGCCACTCTTCCTTGACCGTTGCAGCGAAGCAGAGACATCTCACCAGGTTAAGGACCATCAGTGAGCAAGGAGTCACCTGCAGTGGGGTCGGGGGGAGCCTGGGGGATGGGTGTCCTAGCAACTTGAGAATCACAGGAAAGGAAGAACAGGATGAAGAGAAAGATGTTCCAGCTTTTCTCCATTTTTCCTAGAGCGCTTCCCAGGAAACCCGCGAGCTGGGCAGCAAGCGTCAGGATGAAGCCCCGGGACCTTCCCACCACCGCCGGTGGACGTTCCCACAGCATTTCCAGGGAAGGAAAGGAGCCCCCAGCTACCTTGATGCCCCGCAGGGAAGCAAAGGATTCCTGGCCGGGCCTCAGAGCTATGATGTCTCCTTCTACCAGCAGGCTAACCGGCAGGTTGACGAGATGTCCATCTCTGTAGGCCCAGTGCAGAGACCAGGATGGTGTGAAGGGCATGTGCAGGTCTGGGTACATGGCATCTGGCCACTTGACCTCCTTGCCATCCCTGAGGGCATCTGATGAGGGTGGAAAGAGGGACACGGCCTCACCCGGAGCTCCGCACATGCCAGCTGGATCCAGCACGCACCTCGGGAGCCGGGTCTGCTCTGCTTGCTTCCCCAGAAGGCCTGCATCAACCCATGCCACTCACTCCAGCACCGGCCCCTCTGCAGGTCCGCGCCCCGCCTGGCCCCTCACCTTGGATTTGGTCAATGACACCCCGCAGTCTCCGCTCTACCTCCCGACGCTTCAGCCGATCTTGCCGCCCAATGAGGACGAGGTTGAGGAGCAGCAGGAGGAAGAGCGCCGAGGCGTTCACCAGCTCCACGCCGCGGCTGGCAGCGAGAGGGGAGGGGGTCCTGGGGGTCCTGGCCAGCGGGGGGCAGGGCGCTCTGCTGCCCAGCCAACCCAGGGCCCCACACTGCCCTCCCCACGCCTTTCTGCTTCTGACAGCAGCTGGCCAAGGGACTTGCAGATTCCCACGTGACCCAGGCTCTGACTTCGGGGGGCAGTTCCCTGTCTCCCTGGGTGGGTATAGGGGCAGGAGAGGGACAAGCCCAGACCCTGTGCTGCAAGAGGTGGGAAGAAGCTCCACCCACCCACCCAGGGCCACGGGCCACATACCTGCCAGCCGGCTGGCCCCCGCAGCAAGCCAGCAGCAGAAGCACAGCCAGGAGCATGAGCGAGGCGCCCGGCCAGTGGAAACAGGAGCAGCGGTTCCCGTGGTACAGGAAGCTGTTCCTCCACATCTCCTGGGGGCAGGGGGTGGGTGAGTGAGAGGCTGGGGGACAAGCGGGAGACTGCAAGGGGCCGGGACTCTCTGACCTGCTAGGATCTGACTGCCTTCCTCCCAGCCCACCCGATCCCACCCCCGTGGCTGCCTCCGTCAACTCGCTTCAGTCCCGGCTGGGGGTCGGGACGTCACTCTGAAAGGAATCCTGACTCCTTTCTGATTTTTAGGGATGCCTCGGTCGGGTCATGGTGCCCAGGACGACAGGGTGAGTCCCGGCCCTGAGAACGGGCCTCCCGAGTTTCTCTGCCACCCCAACTGTGGAGCCCTACACCACGGCCATGGGTGTGGAGCTCTGGACTAGGGTCACAGGATAAAAATCTCTGGAACTGACCAAGCCCCATAGCAACTGTTGCCATGAGGCTCTGGATCTAAACCAGCCAGTCCCCTGACCCCGTATTAGATCAAATACCCACCCTATTATCAGCCCTATGGCATCCCATCACCTAATGCCATCGTTCCAGTAGGAATTTTCTGTCTTGAGGCTGTAAAAATTGGTTGCCACCCTTTGAAAGGGTTTGGCTCTCCCTCAAGCTGGCCTGCTGTGCTAATAGCGGCTTCCACTCTAGTAAACTTTCTTCTCCTCTCGTTCTGCCTCATGTCTGGAAATTCTTTTCCCACCCGCACACGGACCAGGACCCCAGCTAGGCTCTGGGCTCCCGGGAGGACGCGTCACCTTCCACGTGAGACATTTCTTCCGCTCCTTCAGGTGTCCATCCAGCACTGCCTCCAGCTGCTCCTTCAGAATGCTGAGGGCCTTCCGGGTGGACAGGCCCAGGGCCAAGGGCGGCTCGCCCTGGAGGGGAGAGGGGGCGGCTCTCGGCATCCCACGGGAGGCCCAGGCCCCCTCCCCTCCCGCCTCCCCAGAACCTTCCTCCCTCCTCCCAAGGCCTCGCCCTCCCTTTCCTTCACTAGCCCCTGGCAAGCGGTAGGGGTCCTGAGTGTGCTCCCCACCGAACTAAAAGATGTTCAGGTACACAGTCCCCCACTCCTCAAAGCCCAGTTTAACACAAAACTAGAGGGACTTCCCTGGCGGTCCAGTGGTTAGGACGCCATGCTCCCAAGGCAGACGGCACAGGTTTGACCCCTGGTCAGGGAACTAAGATCCCGCAGGCCACAGAGCACAGCCAAAAAATAAAACAGAACCAGAAACAAGCCTTTCTAGGCTCAGCATCTTCTAACTCTCCTTTCACTCAACTCCCAACCCACTGCCATCAGCAGCCCAGCACCACTTGGGCCGTGCTCACCGCCCAGCTCCCCTTACGCACTGGGGCCATCTTTCCTGGTTCTCCGGCAGGAAATGTGGATTGTTTAAGTGGGGGGGTGGGGCTTCCCTGGTGGCTCAGCTGGTAAAGAATCCGCCTGCAATCTGGGAGACCCAGTTTGATCCCTGGGTCAGAAAGATCCCCTGGAGAAGGGAAAGGCTACCCACTCTGGTATTCTCAACTGGAGAATTCCATGGACTGCACAGTCCATGGGGTCGCAAAGAGTCCGACTTGACTGAGTGACTTTCACTTTCTAAGTGGGGAGAAGAGAACTAACCTAGAGGTACTAGCTTGACATTCTCCCTAGTAAAAACGTGAAGAAAAACCCCACCAACTTCTGTTATCACCAGCTCATTAAAGGGAAGCTACTGTAACACTGACAGCGGGAAGAACACAACCTCAGAAAAAGGCAGCCACTCCCAGGAAAGGACCTGGACCGACCACAGCCCGCACTCCCGCTCTCTGAGGGTGGGTGGAACGAGGCACGGACGGGGTGGCGGGTGGCACATTTTCCTCTGTGGCCCCACAGCCTGACCTCTGCCATCGCCCCCTTTCCTGGGCTTCTCTCCTCTGTCCTGTCCACCTACCCCACAGTCCCTCCTATGACATCTTCTCCACAACACTGTGTACGTTTCCAGGGCTACATCAGCCACACGGATTCTCCTGCCAGCGATAAGCTTCCAACTCTTAAATCTGACCTCTAGCTTGACCACTGTCCCAAATTCTGACCCGTTTCTGAACTGATCCATAGCTCTTTCGTAGGTATCTGTGAGTCGATACATCCAAAACCCTGAAATTGCCACCCAGCTCTCCCCACCAGAGCCAGTACCCCTCCTGCAAGTTACCACCTCACCCAGGCATTCCAGCCCTCCCGCCAACCCCTGCCTCCCCTTCCCACCTCCCAGTCCCTACCTTCCATCCCAGCCAGGGAGAGTGCATCTGATCAACTGACCCTGTTTCCCTTTAAAATCCAGCCCAGACTCCTGAGCGTGGTCTGGGATCTCCTCCAGCCTCCTCGCCTGCTGCTCCTGCCGAATGCCCAGCTCCCTGCGCTCATGTGCCAGCATCTTCCTGTGTTTTCCTAGCCAAGAACACACTCCCTGCTCCAGACAACTCTTTACTTCTCCTCCGAGACGGCTCAAACACCACCCGCTCTGGGAAATTTTCCCAAAACCCAGGGCTGCACATACTGGGGGAGGCTTGTATTCCAGCGGCACCCCAGGGCAACCTGGCTCACAGGCGGCACCGCAGAGCGCTGTCATCACAGGTTTTCTCGTCTGGTTCCCCCACCAGCCAGCCAGCCAGCTCCCTGAAAACAGGTGCTGGATTCTTCCATGTCCATACCCTCCCACCAGGCACAGGGCAGCGGCTCAATGAATACTTGCTGAATGAATGAATGAATGAACGTACATGTAGCTTCACTGGTATCAAGGACACCTTAATCGGGGTTGTCAAAGGTGTTCAGCCCCTCAGTTGTGTCTCCTTGTGACCCGACGGACTGCAGCCCACCGGGCTCCTCTGACAATGGGATTCTCCCGGCAAGAACACTGGAGTGGGTTGCCATTTCCTATTCCTGGGGATCTTCCCGACCCAGGGATAGAACCCGCATCTTTTGCACCTCCTGCATTGGCAGGCAAGTTCTTTACCACTAGCGCCACCTGGGAAGCCCAACCCAGGACCTATGGCAGAACTGCCTGGAGCTTTTACAAATGTGCAAGTTCCAGGTCCCCACCCCAGACCTACCCAATCAACACTTCTGGAGGTGAGGCCCACCCTGGGTGGATCTGAGGCACAGATCCCCAGCCGGGGGTCCAGGGGAAAAGAAGGCCCCCAGGAAAGACAGGGCCTGGGGGAGCAGTGAGTCTTTCCCAGGGCCACCTGAAGAGCACCAATGCAGGCTTTCACCACGGAAAGTTCTGAGCAAGCAGAGGGAAGCCCTAGCCCTGGGGCGCCAAGAAAGGGCCTGGGTTTAACCACTGGGTCCCGGCCAAGCATCACTAAGCCAGTGGGGCCCCGGCTGCCCAGGTTCACGGCCCTGCTTCTCCGCTCCTACCTCTAGGCTTCTGCCCTGGCTTTGTCCACTAATGTTTCTGGATTTCCTCCTCCCTGCAGGTCTCCATATCCACCCCACTCTGTGGCAGCCTGGCCCCTCACCAGCTACACATCTCCACCACTAGAGGTATTGATGGCCTGGGGGTGGCATCCCCTGGCTGCAGGCTGGGCACCACGGGCCTGTCGCCCAGCTCTCTCGGGTGAGGACAGGCCCCAGAGCGGGTCCTGCCCAAAGACCTCCCAGCTCCTACGCTTGAACCTCCATGCCCCCCATCCCTACTCTACAAAGAGGCTCTGGGCAATTATGAGATGAGAGCTGCCTCTCCCAGAGGGAAGAAGAGGTTACTTCAGCTCAGGAAGAAATGGGCCTCCGGGCAGGGAGCTGGCACCCCCTTAAGGGTAAACACCTCCCTCTGGCAGGGATCCAGGCTGAGAGCCCATGGTCCAGAACAAAGGAGTACCAGGTAAGGCCAGTACCTCTGCCTAGACTTCTGGCTGGAGCGAAGAAAGCCTCCAGGGGCAGGAAGGAGGAACAGAAAAACAAAGGGTGACCAGGGGCCTGCCCAGGGCCAAAGGGCTGGCCCAGAGGGGGATGCCTGCCCCCCTCGTCCCCAGAATACCCCGGAAGAGGAGAGTCTGGAAGGCCCGCCTGTCCTCCCCTGCCCCGTCCTCCCCCAGGCTCAACCCTCCCAGCTCCCTTTCCCAGAGGGGAGCGCGAGTTCCCAGGGTGGACTTGCCTAGGCCAGGTCTCCAGAAACTAAAGTGAGTACACCTCCTGCGGGCAGGGGAGGGCTGGCTGGCAGAGGTGGACAGGCTGTGCGCCAACAGGCGGGAGAAAGCAAGGGCTGACAAAGCCCATGGGGCCGCGGAGTCACCCGGAGAGCTGCTCGGGCCAGAACGGGTGCCAGGCTCGGGAAGGCTAAGGCAGCAGCCGGGGCGCAGCCTTCCTCTGGCCGTGCCTCTAGACCCTGGACACTCAGCAACTGCCCTCTGCTTGCCCTGCGGCTGGCCTGTACCCTCTGCCTTATTTCAGGCACCCCAAACCCCCTGAGACCCCCACCCAGCGATCGTTTAGCTCCTCCTCTGCCTCCAGGTTCTTGGAACCTGTCGTCTGCTCCCCTCCAGGGGTGGAAGGAGGGGCCAGAGGGCAGCAAGCGTGGAGCCCCCGTGAGTCAGCCCCCCGCATGTTGTGTCTGGTTTGGAGCACCCACTCCAGACTGGCGATTAAAGGCAACACAGCAGGGGGAAAATGAGCCCTTGTAATTACATGCCTCCTGAGGAAAGCGCCTGCCCACACAGAGGCCCCAGGGCCCGACACCGCCCTCCAGTCGACCCTCCGCGGCCCGCAAATCCAACTGTTGTGGCTGCACACGAGGCCTGATGGCAACCCTGTCTCCAGCAGGAGAGCCCGGGTGTGGGGAAAACCACGGCTTCTCTGCTTATCCCGAGGCTTTCCACCCAGGCGGTGTGAGAACTGAAGCGGGGAAATTGGTGGAAGACCAAAGGTTTTCCAAAGGCAATTCAGAAAGGGCTCACGGCGGCCCTTCTCAAAAGCACGGAGTGAGGCTGGACACCCAGTGTGCCTGGGCGCCCACAGCGGGTGCGGTGCGAGGCTGGGGCTGGTGTGAGAGATAAGAACCCCGGTCACACACACTCCATCTAAGGTCTGCTCCTCTCCGTCCACCAAGGCCAAGAAGGGCCAGGAGAACCTGTCCCGGAGGGATGCTCAGGTGCCCCTCCTAGGCACCTCCAGGAGGCTCGGGGGTGAGCAGCCAGGTCTCCACGCCAGGGGGGAGGGGCGACCCTGCTTCTTCCCTGACACTGAGGTTTTCTGGCCTCCACTCCCGAGGCCCCAGCAGAGGCGGGCTCAGGAGGGCCGCCATCACACCCCTCACTCCCTCTCCGTTTCATCACCAAAGGAGGACATGGGTCAGGCCCAGGGGTTCAGGGAGCAGCAAGTGGTGATAGATCTCTGTCTGGTCCAATCAGAACCGCAAGAAACCTGCTCCAGAACCGAATCCACGCCCCAGGGCCCAGAGCTAAGCATCTGGGTCAGTCTAATGAGGCTTCAAGAGCCAGTACACCTGGGCTGCCCTGGGCCATCATGGTCAGGCTTCTCCGGTGGCCCAGAAGCAGAAGCCCTCAGCAGCCCCCAAGCCCCTGCCCCCTGATCAGTCAGGACTCCTCTGAGGTTCCCTCAGCATAGCAGCCATCTTCCTTCCTGTTCCACCTGTCTCGGGAGAAAGTGGACTCAAGGTCCCCTAGGCTCAGGTGGACCGATGATGAACGGGCCTCGGCCACAGCAGAAAACCACTAATCAGAACCAGCTGACCCTCTGCCAGGCCCCCTGGGTCACAGCCTTCTTGGCCATTGCAGCGGTCAGGGGACCGAAAGCTGGACTCCACGATGTCGGAATCACCGGAACAGAGATTCGGCCACTGTCCTCCAGAATACAGGACAAGCATCACCACGAATCTCATCTGAGGTGGGCCAGACAGACCCAAGTCGACTCCGCCGACAAGCAACTCAAAACCTTAAGCAGGGGCGCCTCCTCCTCCTCATACGGACCGGGCACTTCACCCATCTTATTCCTCACCTCCTGCAGACAAGACCCAGGAAGAAACCCTTTCCCCCTCCCAGCCCTGGTGGCTCCTGTCTCAAGACCCATGTGGTCCAACGAGAGATGCCTCCTTCAGGGCCCCGAGGAGGGGCTGGCATCCAAGCCTTGTGCGTGCTGACCCGGGTTCTGGCATGCCGTGAGAGGGTGCCCCACGGGCCTGCTCTGGGTGACCCTGGGTGACTCAGGGGCTGGGTGGGCGGCTCCACACACCGGCTTCCTGGTTCCCACTCCCAGACTCCATCATGGTCCTCGCTCCCTGGTAATCCAGGCTGCCTCGGGTCCAGCCTCCACCTTCCACCCCACCGTTAACCCAAAGCCTCCAACACAAAGCGGGGAAGCCGGGCGGGCGGGACGGGGCAGTCAAGCCCAGCCGGCATACTCACTTTGCCGCCTTTGCCCTGAGGGGCCGTCCACAGCTCTGCCCGCTTAAAGAGCATGGGGCAGCGCCTGGGCCACAAGCGAGTCAGCTACCGGGCTGCCAACACCGCCCCCGGGGAGGGCGAGGAGGAGACGGGAAACGGAGAGGGTGAGGGAGGGCAGGGGAGAAGAGGGGAGAGGGCTGGAGTGCGTGAGAGCGAGGAGGAGCCGGTGCAGCGGTGGCAGCAGCGGAGAGGAGCTTCAATCTGCTGATTAATTCAGCCTGTTCCCGGTCACGCTGCAGATCGAGGGAGGGAGGAGGCGGAGGAGGAGACCGGGCTGCCGTGCAGGAGGGGGCAGGGGAGGGAGGGGAGGAGGGGGGAAGCTGGCAGGGGCTCTGCCAGATGTCGGGCGCTTGGCCTGTTCAGCAGGGGAGGCACCGCGGGGTGAGCAGAGGGGGACATACAGCCCAGGGCTCCGGAGGCACCCACCTGCGGAGAGGCTGAGCAGGAAATGGCTGCTGTCGGCCCGCAGCCCAGAGGGCAGCCGCTGGCATCAAGGAGGACCTGGCCTCTCGCCGCCCCAAGCCCTTCCCTGGGGCTGTGTCACTGGGCGAGGTGAGGGGCCCCACTGGGGGAAGCCCCCGATCCCTGACACTCCAGCATGCAGCCACGCCAACCACAGCCCTCTCCTCCGTTAGAGCTGCGGGAAGGAGGGGAGGGGGGCCTTGAGAGTTATTAATAGCAGCACATCCTAGAGGAGGGGCGAGTACTGACGAGTGAGAAAACGGGGGCAGGGACTTCCAGGGGGCAGAGGCTGGGGGCCCAGAGAGGGAGAGGGGAGAGCCCCTGAAAGGAAGCCTCTGGGGACCCCAGCAATGGACCAAACGCCTTCCCACCAGGCGGGGGCGGGGGGGGAGGCTCCAAGAGCCACTCATCAGAGCCAGGGCAGGGCTCAGCCAGCAGCCGTCCACCGACTGCATGCGGATGCACCTGCCCAGGTGCTGCTGGGACAGGACACAGGGCCTCGTCCCCCGAAGAAAGGGGGTGCTGGGGACCTTCTGAGGCTGCATTCAGGGCCTGGGCGTCACTCCGGGACCCTGAGTTTGACACACAGGAAGCTGTCAGAACAGACCCCCGGGGTGAGCGGGGGCAAAAGACCCGGGGAGTGGACAAGAGAGCTCTCTGCCTCCGTCCAGGCCACCCTGAGGCTGGGGCAGGACCACCTCAGAGGAAAGGACGCGGGCTGGCCCTGAGACGGCCGCTCCCGGGCCCTGCTTCCTGGACGACACCATCTGCTCTGCACCCAGCCTCTCCCCTCCCTCTTCTCAAGCACAGTCCCCAGGGGGGCCCCACCCCAGGCCCCGCCAAACCCAGAGCTGAATGGGGATGGGAAAGGAAGGGCCTGGCTGCCAGGGGGTTAAGGGCAGGGGGAGGAGGGGTCGGCTTCAGAGGCAGTCAGTCTGATGTCGGGCAGTGGCTTCAGCAAAGGGCCCAGGAGACTCCTGACCCCCAGCCCCGGCTCCCAGGTCACACTCCCCTTCAGCTTTCTAAAAAGACACTGCTCTGGGGGAACCACAACTAAGCAAACACTGTCTCTCCAGTGCAACAGCCCATAGGGTCTGACCCGGGTGCTCCACAGCCCCCAGCACAGCCCTCTGGTGTCCAGTCCCGCCTTCCCAACACTGTCCGCTGCAGCAAGAGAAGGGGGAACTTCTGCATCTGAGGAGAGACCCAGACCGTCACTGCCAATGGCACATCCACCACGGGCTGGAGACGGGTGCCTGCGGAGGACCCTGAGGACGGGGGGGGGGTGGGGGGGGGGCGGGGGGGGGGGCGAGATGCAAAGGATGGACTGGCCACAGTCAAACAGTTGCCAGGCAACGACAGGCAACCTCACCATCAACTCCCAGCATGTCAGCTCACCCACTCCCGTTGGAGGCCCCAGGGATCCACTTTAGAAGCCCACATTTACGCAACTCACAAGGCACCTCAAGTAGAAACGTCATCAGATCTATTACTTAGTTGCTTTCCCTATAAATTCCTCGACTAGTCTGTGAGTCTCTGTAAGCCAAAGGCCATCCCCCAGGGGCCTAGAGCTCTACCAACCCACAGTGAGCATTCCATGAACACAATTGATGATGGTAGTCATGGTGCTTTCTAGATCAGAAGAACATCTATCCAGAAAGAAAAAGAAGAGGATGAAGGAAAACCCTCCCCGACAAAAGGCATCCAGCCTGGGTTCACAAGTGTTCTTTGAGTACAAGCGGCTTGAGAGAGAAGCCAGCCCCTGGACCACAGAAATCTGTTTCCCTGATTCAACAGTAATGGGTGTTTCAGCCCCAGGCTGGAACCATAGGAAGATACTGTCCTCTGTTTTGGGGACATTCAACCTCACCCAGGCAGGCTACCTCATCACCACATCGTAACCTTTGGAGGGAGGGCGCTCCCTGGAATTGAGCAGTGCACAGCACTTGCAACTGTACGCAGCAGCCTTGCACCCGGGCTGGGGGTGGGACAAGTGGAGCTCTACCTGCGTGCCAACCCCTGATAGGATGGACACCTGCACTGCAGCCAGAGGCCTCTGTGAGCAGGAGGCTGAACACACCTGCCTTAAGCTCAGGTCCACGAGCCTGCTTCACAGCCCACCCAGAGGCACGTGAACCCCGGAGCTGAACACATCAGCAGTCAGCCAGGTTCCAGTGTGCGGACCCACGGCTCCTTCCCCAGACCTCCCAAGATCTCTTTGGCAGGAAGATCACTATCGTTAAGTTCAAGTCAATAAATATTTACTAAGCCCTTGCTAATGATACATGGCTGAGAGGTTAAAGCCTCTGCCTGGAATGCGGGAGACCCCTGTTTGATCCCTGAGTTGGGAAGATCCCCTGGGGAAGGAAATGGCAACCCACTCCAGTACTCTCGCCTGGAGAACCCCATGGAGGGAGGAGCCTGGTAGGCTACAGTCCATGGGGTCGCAAAGAGTCGGACACGACTGAGCGACTTCACTTCACTTCAAGCCCTTGCTACATGCCAGGCTCTATGCTAGGAGCCAGGGACGCTGAGATAAAGCGGGACAGACAGATGGTGTCAACACGGCATAGAAAGCACGATGGTGGAGGGGCTGTGAATGCTGGAAGAAGGGGCTCTGCAGGGATGAGGACGTATCTGGAGAAGGTCATGCCTAAACCAGGTCTTGAATGAAAGAAAAGTAGAAGTCTGGCAGGAAAAAGTGGGAGGAGGGGATTAGGTTAATAGCCTACACATGAAGTGTGTGCCCAAACTCTGAAGTGCTCAGAAATACCAGTGGTGGGACTTCCTTGGCAGTCCAGTGGTTAGGACTCTGCGCTTCCACAGCAGGGGGCACAGATTTGATCCCTGTTCAGGGAACTAAGATCCCACAGGCCGCACAGCACACCCCCCAGAAAGAGAATTACCAGTGGTAAAGGCGAAGGCAGGGAGGCGCGGGATGCTGGGCCAACGGTCTAAGTGGGTGTGTGGAGGGCTCTGGACCCCACAGTGAAGGTTTCGGCAGGCGACGCAATGACTTTTAAGCAGGAACAACAAAAGGTCAGCTCTGCGTTTTGGGTAGCTTTCTCTGCCCGCCCAGTAGAGACAGGGGGTCAGAGACAGGGGGACCTGCTAGGAAGGTGTGACAGGAGTCCAGGCAGAGATGGAAGGACCTCCTTTAGGGCAACCTTCGTCCCAGGAGAGGGGTGCTTGGATCAACAACAAATCTACCTCTGCATAAAGATGGTGTATGTGGAGGCTGGGGGCACCCAAGTCAGGCTGGGGGAGGCTGCCTGGACCCCTGTGAGGGGCTCACCCCCAGCTGGTTCAGCAGCTGCGCCTGGAGTCTAACTGGGAAGCTCTACTCTAACCACAGAGAGGGCGCCGGACAATATTCAACACGGCTTGGCAGGTTGGGGCAGAGCCCGGCAGAGGGCAAACAAGCGAAAATACACAGCCCTGGGCGAGGAGTGGAGGCTGGCTGGGAGCCAACCCCGATCGGGAACCGGCTCCCACGCGGCCACATTCACTGGTCCACCCTCTGCCCTTGAGTCCCAGCTCCCGCCGTCTGCACGTTCCGGCCGGTCAGCAGCCCCGCCGAGGGATCAGATCACGTGCTCCAAGCCCCAGAGCCACACACCCCACCCCTCACTTTCAGCGTCAAGCCCCCACCGAGGACCTCCCAGGCAAACACGGGTCAGGAAAGTCCAACAGAAACACACTGACAGTCCCCAGGAGGGCAACCATCACGGCCTACCTCGTGCTTCTCCTTCAGGTCCATGGGCCCAGGGTGCTGCAGGCATGCCCAGAGGAAGGTGGTTACCCCCGAAAGGAAGGTTCCTCTGCGACATGTACGCGCCCCAGTGACTCTGTCACAGTCACTGTGACATCTGGGGAGAAAAAGAAGAAAGAGGTCCCGTGGGGCCGCTTCTGTGAAACACGAGAGTATCACCCCAACAGTTGAGCAGGATGTGGAGGAGACGGTGCCCTGACCGCTGGGCCCCAGCCTGCCCTGGCAGCTGGCAGCTTTACAAAGTCAGGAGGGAGACGGCTACAGAGGGGATGCTGGAGAGCTGCAAGCTTCCCCTCTTTTAACCCTCATTTTTGGAGGCATGTACGCTTTGTTCTTTGACTTGCTGACTTTCAGCAAGCAGGAAAAGCCGTGGCTCATCAGCTCTTTATTTTTATTTTTGGCAGCACTGCATGGCATGTGGGATCTTAGTTCCCCAACCAAGGATCGAACCCACACCTCCTGCAGTGGAAGTACAGAGTCTCAACCACTGAACCACCAGGGGAGTCCCTCCTCGGCTCTTTAAAAGTGAAGGTATGGGACTTCCCTGGTGGTCCAGTGTTTAAGACGCTTCCACTGCAGAGGGTGTCGGTTCGATCCCTGGTCAAGGAACTAGGAATCCTGCATGCCCCTCCCCACAAAAAGTGAAGGTAAACTGGAATCTAGATATAAATGAAATAACCAGGCAAATGGTGGAGAGAGCAGCAGAGATGATTGGGGTAGAGACATGCTTGCTCCACCTTGTGGGAAACACACACCGTATGCAAACATGCACACGTCCATG